ATAAATTATATAGTCTGCAATGCGTCTTATTAGAGTATAAAGGTTGAGTGAATTTCATTAAGATCAGACAAGTGGTTTTCACGAAATATATTAGAAAGCAATTCCATTGTAAGAAAAAGGAAAAAAGGAGGGTTGGGACACTGATATTTCTCAACTTTACAGGATACCGACCGTCCGTTATCACAGTGTGATTGGCTTCTATAATTATTGGTAACAGACTGGCATAAACACAGACACACAGTGGTGGTGATAGTTGTGATGATAATGGTGGTGATAGTTGTGGCGGTGGTGATAGTTGCGGTGGTGGTGATAGTTGTGGTTGTGCTGATGGTAATAGCTGTGTTTGTGGTAATGGTTGCCATAGCTGTGGTGATGGTGGTGATAGGTGTAGTTGTGTTCATGGCAGTAACGACAGTAATGGTGATGGTGGTGGATATTTTGGGTGTGGTGACGGACATACAGCATTTGCAAGTATGAATATATATATATATATATATAATGTAGATCTTATGGCAGCCAGAAGCGTCCAGATGGTATCACGCGTTAAGCCTGGACAGACGGTAAGCAGGTGGTGTGGGACTACACATGTGCATCTACCTTGGCTGACACCTATCTCCAATACACCAGGGAGGAAGGAGGGGCAGCTGCCAGCTTCAGGGAGTCCCAAAAGTCTAGAAAATATAGAGAACTTGCCCATCATTATATGTTTGTTCCCATAGGCTCGGAGACCCTTGGCTCAAGGGGAAAGAGAGCATCTAAGTTCCTTAAGAAGCTAGGCAAAAGACTCATCAAGGTAACTAGGGATCCCAGGGCAGCTAGTTTTCTGTTCCAGCGACTCAGTGCTGCTGTTCAGAGGGGTAATGCCTGCTGTATTTTGGGCACGCGCCGCAGCTCTGAAGAGCTGGATGAGATTTTCACATTATGGTCAGTGATGAACATGTAACAATATGTACTAAACATGTATCTCTCACACCTCATGTACTGTATATGCCATCTTTATATCAATAATGTATCTCTTAAACCTTTTGTCCCATATTATGTAAAAAAAATATACCTATTGGTAAAAAAGAATGAAAAGTTGGGGTGGTAGGGGAAGTGAAATATTCAAACGGCTTCAGGAAGAAATCCAAATATTCTTCCTTGAAGCCTTTTTATCCACTTCTCCTAAGCTATGGGTCCCACAATTTACACCAGAGGTGGGCCCCATCATATATATATATATATAATATATATATATATAATATAATATATATATATATAATATATATATATATATATATATATATGCGCACACGCATATGTATACTCTTTCCATAACATATAATAATGCCTCACATATGCATATTCCCACACGTATACATATGAAAGTGTAGAAGCATTCTTGCATAAATATGCATACGCTTACATATGCATAAGTATATAAATTTATCAGTACACATGTGCTCACATGTATACGTCCATTTGCATAAATATACATTTGCACACGCATGTATAATATATAAAAGGGTACACGCGTTCAGGTATACATATGCACAAATATACACACACAAATCCAAATTCATATTAATATATTTTGCTGCATTGGAATTTTATGACCACCCTGCACTATTCCTTTTGTGTTCATTCAGGTAGAGAGGGCTGGACTTGGGAGATACGGGGGATAGATTTCTCGGATCACGCAGCGACAGAAGTACATCTAGTGTATGGTATGAAATTTTACCAGTCGATCTTAAGTTTCTTGCGCGACCGTAGACAAGCGAAAAGACGTAGACGCGCACACAGCATGTTATTCAAGACATTTCCCCCACTGAGAGTTTTAGCAGGCGAAACGTCGTCCCTTTTTAATAATGGCGTTATTACCTAGACTTTGATATATATGGGTTTACTGCGAGTATTTTAAATGTGGACATAAAATACCACTGGCTAACAACACTGGCCATAACATACCACTGGCTAACCTACAGTGACACCAACACTGCCAAGTCTCCGCTTCTCGTTGACTTCCCACTAATTTTGTTTGTAACATCGTAGCTGGGACAACTTCCTTGACTTAACAGTTAACTCTGTGATGAAATCTTTAATAAATTGTTCACTCCATAGGCAACGCTGATGCCTTATGGCAGGAACCATCTTACTGTTAAATTGATCAGAGTCCCTTAACCAGTGTGATACACACACACACACACACACACACACACACACACACACACACACACACACACACACACACACACACACACACACACACACACACGTGGTATAACACCAGTCACATCCCCTGAAGCGCACATCAACCAAATAACTACTGCAGGATATGGGCGCCTAGCAAACCTAAGAACAGCATTCCGACATCTTAATAAGGAATCGTTCAGGACCCTGTACACTGTGTACGTTAGGCCCATATTGGAGTATGTGGCACCAGTGTGGAACCCACACCTAGCCAAGCACGTAAAGAAACTAGAGAAAGTGCAAAGGTTTGCAACAAGACTAGTTCCAGAGCTAAGAGGTATGTCCTACGAGGAGAGGTTAAGGGAAATCGACCTGACGACACTGGAGGACAGGAGAGATAGGGGGGACATGATAACGACATACAAAATATTGAAAGGAATTGACAAGGTGGACAAAGGATGTTCCAGAGTTGGGACACAGCAACAAATGGACACAGTTGGAAGTTGAAGACACAGATGAATCACAGGGATGTTAGGAAGTATTTCTTCAGCCACAGAGTAGTCAGAAAGTGGAATAGTTTGGGAAGCGACGTAGAAGCTTTAAGCAGAGGTATGATAAAGCTCACGGTTCAGGGAGAGTGACTTAGTAGCGACCAGTGAAGAGGCGGGGCCAGGAGCTAGGACTCGACCTCTGCAACCTCAACTAGATGAGTACTAGGTGAGTACACACACACACACACACACACACACACACACACACAGTAGCGATCAGTGAAGACGTGGGGCCAGGAGTTATGAATCGACCCCTGCAACCACAAATAGGTGGTAAACACACATTCTCTCTCTCTCTCCCTCTCCTCTCTCTCTCTCTCTCTCTCTCTCTCTCTCTCTCTCTCTCTCTCTCTCTCTCTCTCTCTCTCTCTTTCTCTCTCCCTAGAATTACGGTTTTCTTGCTGAAGGAGAGATTATTATAAATATGGGGAGCGCTAAACCAGAAAATATACAGCGCCTGGGGAGGGGAACACATTCAGACTCAATTCAGTGAACTGGAGCACAGATCCAATTCCCTACATCAAGAGCCCCTCACCAGTGCCGAGGAACCTCCATTGTGGGGATGGAGAAGGGAGAGAAAGAGAGAGAGAGAGAGAGAGAGAGAGAGAGAGAGAGAGAGAGAGAGAGAGAGAGAGAGAGAGAGAGAGAACGAGAACGAATAAATGAATGTAACAAAATATATAATACTGTAAAGACAACATTCATCTCAGGTGTTGGGGAGAAACTCAGCTTGAAGATAATTAAGGAAGAAATAAGGACAATCTGACAAGAATTATGAGATGAAGAAAAATTATAAGAGTCACGTTGTTGTTGCTGTTGGTGGCGGCGACGACCGTGGGTGGTGGTGATGGTGATGATGCTGTTACTTCCGGTATAGTGACTCTCCTGCCGACCCAGTCTTCACCATCTTTCCCTCCACCTCCCCCTGCCACCCCTGAGCGCACACCACGACATACTGCCTTAATTACACCACCCTCTTCTCTTTTTCTTCTGCACCGACCTCTAACAGACTTCCTGGCGTTTATGTTCCACGGTAATAGCTTCTACAATTTTCTAAGTCATCCTCTAGAACAGACAAAAAAAAATTCGTTTAACATTATGTTTACACGACTGGCTTTCTCTCATAAACTCCTCCCTGACTGCGCTGGAATCAGTTAAAGTCACTGCATTAAAACAAAAGAGCATCGGGCAGAAAGCAATCAAGTTAATCGAATACCACCGAGGGAGCCGCACAGCGGATCCCGACTGGCTGGCAAGCCGCTCTTGCTGCTTCTGCTTCACTGATTTCACCACAGATAAATTGTTGCCACTTTCCCCGTACCATGATTTTGGGGGTCGAGCGACAGTTTGTGGATGCTGGGGAGAGGGAGGTGTAGGTTGTTCTTTGATGAAAAATATTTTTGCCCCATTATTTGAACACAATGGGGCAAAACTAATTAATGAGTACATGGGGCCAACGAGTTTTCTATGACATTTTAATTTTTAGCTATTTTATATATATATAATAATTTAGTATATATATATATATATATATATATATATATATATATATATATATATAATATATATATATATATTATATATATAATCATACATACAATTTAAGTCTTAATGAAGTACTGAAAATAAATAAACAGAAAGATGGACGAGAGACTCGAACCTTGTATCCATACTCCACCCATCCCAGTGGGCGGGTAGTGATGGGTGAGTGGGTGGTGGTTGGGTGGGTAACGGGGGTTGGTCCGTTTTGTTTAACTTCCCGGTAATCAATGACGAGTCATATACCAATATTTGGTAAGTATCAAATGGAAAACATTAATAGCCAATTAAAACATTTATTAAAATTAAACATGAAAGATGGCAAATAAATCATCTGCGATACCAAAATATAAACAAAAAATAAACAGTTTACAATAAACAATAGTTGAAGCCTTAAATAATTTTTACAGTACGTTAACAATTATTAAATTAATAATTATAATACACTGGTAAAATAATTGAACACATTCTGCATTGCTGTACTCTAATGGTAATATCCGTGTTTAATTAAACTAATTGATTAAACTAATTGATTAAATGAATAAACTAATTAAATTAATTATGCTTCTGACTCTGTCCCTAACACTGGTTATATTACCCTTGTTATCCTCTTACCTATTATCTTACCTATTATCTATTTGTTTAATCTATCTGATCAAACATTAACGTTTCCTCTGAGAATCTCCTTTTAAAACTCTCTCACTAACAACATTTTACTGACCATTTCTTTCTCCTTAACAGGCCAGTTACCTGGCGGTGGTGACGGTGGCGACGAAGGAGATAAGGAGAAGGAGGAGGAGGCAGAGAGAGAGCGTCTTGAAGCCATCAGGGAAGCCGAAGACCGACGCAAGGAGAAGCACCGCAAGTTGGAGGAGGAGCGAGAGGGCATGAGACAGGGCATCAGGGACAAGGTAGGTCGTGGAGGAAAAGCTGAAAGAGCGACAGGGCATGAGACAGGGCATTAGAAACAATGTAAACACAGGGGTCATTCTTGAGGTAAGCTTCAAGAGGAGTAAGAGGGCATGAGAGAGGACAAGAAACCAGGTAGGTCATGCCTTAGCTTCTCCTGTCTTGGGTCTGAGACGGTATTATTCGACCACGTTGGTTAGAATATAAGCGCCTGACAGATCACGCCTGGGTAAAAAACATACCAGCAAGACAGGGCGAGAGTAAATCAGTTGTGCTTATATATTGTCACTTTTGAATTGTCACCATGGGTCATAGAGAAAGGCGGGTGAGACGTAATCACTTAAAGCAGATTACCTTTAAATAGGTCATTTTTAAAATAGACTGGTCACAGGTGGCTCGTGAATTGCACCAAGAGGGCGCTGGAACAGCAACCTTAATATATTATGCATCTCCAAGGAAGAATATATATATATCAAACAGTCACTTTTACATAACGTAAGCTCTGTAAACTAGTGTAATAAATTGCACTTTGTGTTAAGGACTCCCTATAAAACTTGCTTATCAACTTTCCTATAATACAATTCTACGTTCGTATTGGCTCCTTTATATATGTCTAAAGTTGAGAAAATGAAAGGAGCTAAAACTCAGTAAGCATGCAGCTGGAGCTGTTATTTGTTGTTCTTCCGAAATCTGTTAATGTCCTTCAGTGAGTCGAAATCTCAGGTTTAAAGGCTAGCTCACTGGATTACCATATTCTTAGGACTGATTTGCCATGTGATTGAACACCATCTCTTATCTGAGATGATTTCCAAAACGCTAGTCAACTGCTATTTTTGGACACACTTTAATGCAGAATTTTTAGCAATACTTTTGTTTGTACAGCATTTATCTGGTTTATTTTTTAGAACATTCTGATTATGCACTTCACAGCTCATAGAACAGGAGATTGAATTTATTTTTCCTACATTTTTTTTAAATTTGGTCACAGAATTTCATAGATTCTTATTTCTCGGCCAGAGATGAAAAAGAGATTAAAGATTTTGAAATTAGAAATATAATGATTTTTCCTAACTTGGGCGAACTTAAATCTGCAAACAAAATTCTCTCTTATAATGAAGTGAAGATTGCTTACAGAAGTGCAAATACTATTAAGATATTTTTTGGAAGACAGCCAGTTGAATGAAGTTAGAAATGATGATTTACAAGTCCAGATACCTTACGTGAATCTCGCCTGCATACCCAGGAAGGTTGGAGGGAGGTCAAGGAGATTGCCGGTGCTAGGGACTTGAACATCCAGCAGGACTCTGTGATTGTATTAGATCGAAGTAGAAGCAAGTGTTTTTGGGGGGGCTTTAAGTGCTGTTGCTGTTTACCTGGAGAGAGTTCCAGGGGTCAACGTCCCCGCGGCCCGGTCTGTGACCAGGCCTCATGGTGGATCAGAGCCTGATCAACCAGGCTGTTACTGCTGGCTGCACGCAATCCGACGTACGAGCCACAGCCCGGCTGGTCAGGTACCGACTTTAGGTGCTTCTCCAGTGCCTGCTTGAAGACAGCCAGGGGTCTATTGGCAATCCCCCTTATGATGCTGGGAGGCAGTTGAACAGTCTCGGGCCCCTGACACTTATTGTATTGTCTCTTAACGTGCTAGTGAAACCTCTGCTTTTCATTGGGGGATGTTGCATCGTCTGCCGAGTCTTTTGCTTTCGTTATGAGTGATTTTCTTGTGCAAGTTCAGTAATAGCCCCTCTAGGATTTTCCAGGTGTATATAATCATGCATCTCTCCTGCCTGCGTTCCAGGGAGTACAGGTTCAGGAACTTCAAGCGCTCCCAGTAATTGAGGTGTTTTATCTCCGTTATGCGCACCGTGAAGGTTCTCTGTACATTTTCTAGGTCAGCAATTTCACCTGCCTTGAATGGTGCTGTTAGTTTGCAGCAATATTCCAGCCTAGATAGAACAAGCGACCTGAAGAGTGTCATCATGGGCTTGGCATCCCTAGTTTTGAAGGTTATCATTATCCATCATGTCATTTTTCTAGCAGATGCGATTAATACAGTGTTATGGTCCTTGAAGGTGAGATCCTTCGACATGATCACTCCCAGGTCTTTGACGTTGGTTTCTCGCTCTATTTTGTGGAAGAAATTTGTTTTGTACTCTGATGAAGTTTTAATTTCCTCATGTTTACCATATCGGAGTAATTGAAATTTCTCATCGTTGAACTTCATATTGTTTTCTGCAGCCCACTGAAAGATTTGGTTGATGTTCGCCTGGAGCCTTGCAGTGTCTACAATGGAAGACACTGTCATGCATATTCGGGTGCCATCTGCAAAGGAAGTCACGGTGCTGTGGCTGACATCCTTGTCTATGTCAGATATGAGGATGAGAAACAAGATGGGAGCGAGTACTGTGCCTTGTGTGAGCATGGCAAAATTCATGAAATAATTTAGGAAAACTGGTTAGCCAAACTTAAGTCCTGAAGTAGAGAAGTACAGTTTCTGCACTCTGAAGGATGAATGGAGGAACAATGGACTATGCAGCAGAACTCTTCTCCAGCCTGAGGGACTGACCACCTAAAAGTTACGTCTTTGAGGGTGATGGACTGATTACATTGTCTTTACGTCTCTTCTACTTCTGCTTTCTTCTCCGTATATGACTGAAGAAGCCTACTATGTAGGCGAAACGTTTCTCATTAAAGATAACTAACCGTTGCACATGTATTTTACTTATTTAAGTTAGATTCGTACACTGTTGAACTTGTAGTTCATAGCCTCAAGCTGGGATGTTTTGCTAAGTCATTGGATTGTTCTAGGTATAAGTGCCCACTCCCTTTCTACTTGCCAAGTCTCCAAGCTGAATGGCCTCATAAAATAAATGGCATTGGTTAATGGCCTAAGAAAATTTGTACTTTTTTTCACAAATGGAGCATTTGCATTAGCATATGCTGAGATTCAACAGGTTCCTCCGAGCATTCCCATTATAATGGGATCCCATCGCACCAATCAGTGCGATGGGATCCCATCTTCTTTGATAGCTTATGCTACGACTCATTCAGGGTCTATCCTGTGTTTGTGCTGCCGTGACCTTGCATGGTGTAGGTTTATTCAGGAATTTTATGCCTGCTAATTATATTTTTTCATTTTTATTTTTTATTCTTGATTTAATTTGGGTATTTCTATGTTAATATATAACGAACTATATTATTGATTTATCGCATGTCTCTCGTCATCCCTCATTGTCCTCGTCCACACAGCAGTTAGCAATTTACCATAAAATTTTATAAATGCTAATGAAATATTATGTTACAGTTCTGCTAGTGTGATGTAACTATATTTAAGGTGACACAGCCGTGTCTGTTATTATTTGTTGAAACAGTTAACATAAAGCCGAACACAACGTCTGAATTCGTGCTGTGCTCTTTCTGGACACCAGAAACTGACTAAAAGTCAAACAAAGTTAGTGGAAATTTGTTTCATAGTGAAGCTTGAGAGCTTCCTTGATATTTTTATTCCTTGGTACTTTCTGACAACTGTTTTTTGGTGCCTCTTCGGGGCCTGCCTGTCCTCGCTTCCTCTCTCTCTCTCTCTCTCTCTCTCTCTCTCTCCGTTCCATTATCCTCAGTTTTTCATATATATATATATATATATATATTATATATAATATATATATATATATAATTATATATATTATATATATATATATATATATATATAATATATATATATATATATATATATTATACTAAAGATTTAAGAGATACATTGTTGATATAAAGGTGGCATATACGGTACATGTTACGTGTGTATCACCAATTATAAGGCGAAAATCTCATCCAGCTCCTCAGAGCTGGGGCGTGTGCCCAAAATACAGCAGGCATTACCCCTTTGAACAGCCGCACTGAGCCGCTGGAACAGAAAACTAACTGCCCTGGGATCCCTAGTTACCCTGACGAGTCTTTTTCCAAGCTTCTTAAGGAATTTAGATGCATTCTTTCCCCATGAGCCGAGGGTCTCTGAGCCTATGGGAACAAACATATAATGATGGGCAAGTTTTCCATATTTTCTAGATTTTTGGGACTACCTGAAGCTGGCAGCTGCCCCTCCTTCCTCCCTGGTGTATTGGAGATAGGTGTCAGCCAAGGTAGATGCACATGTATAGTCCCACATCACCTGCTTCCTATCTGTCCAGGCTTGAAGGGTGACACCATCTGGACGCTTCTGGCTGCCATCAGATCTGCATAGCTGGGGTGGCTCACTTACTGCTGGGCATTCGGCTGTTGTGAGACTCCTCTTGATAATGTTATTTACCTCATGTCTTGCAATCTTTCCCTCGGATTTACGGCACACAAGACCGTTACCCGAATCGGTCTGCTGCTTCACTGCCACAAATACACCTGTGTTTGGCGAGAATAGGGGCGGAAAGTCGAAGGGCAACACCGATGCGGATGGTCTGTGGGTCGTGGCGTTGGGAACAGCCAACAGAAAATCCCCTGCATGAGGGGCTCTCACTGCCAGGAGGTGGGCTCTATCCTTCCCTGACACACTCTGAAGCATTGTTGAGGCTATATTTTCCACTATTGAACCATCCCAGTGCGATTGTTTGTAGTTGTTGGGGAGAGCAGGTCTGGTTTCAGAGCCCGTTAGATTATCCCAGATCATGGCTCCGTCAATGAACTTTTGGTCCTGGACTCCAATCTTGTCCCTAAGATATTCAGGGAGAATCGCCCTCTGGATGCAATACATGAGGACAGAAAAGCAGGTAGCGCAATCTGTGATGACTTGCGGACACCAATGCCTCCTAGTCTGACTGGAAGTGTAGCTTGGTTGCACTGCCTGTCTTCTAGAGTAAGGTTAAGTACTTTCGTAAAAATCTGCATCAGGATACTGTCATATTCGTGAAGTATAGGGTTATCATATGAAGGTGCACATCTTAGGAAATATGTCAACCTGGGCAGACTCAAGCACTTTCTGAGAAGGTACAAGGCATCGTGGGTGTCCAGATTGCCT